GTTTCAGGTGTAGTAAGAATATTCCTAGAGAAGTCCCCATACATCAAAGCCACCAGTGAAAGAAAGCATAAAGGAAGAAGGAGCATAGAGGATTAGGAGCAATAGTCTGTCATATCTTGGTACCTGCACTCTTAATAAGTATCATATAGCTTTAGACACCAAAGATCACAGCTCAACCTTCTAGTCATGTGAAACACACTAAAATAATCCACAGAAGAGGAAAGTATTGATAATGAGTTTTGTATCAAGATTCTTTTCTCTGTTCATAAGATTTCTTTGCTATGTACTAAGAGCTTCTACTGTTCACTCATCTTCTGTAGAGAAAGTTTATTTTAGCTGTTTCTGTAGACAGATTTCTCAAAGAAGTCTTTCTCGTCTCTGGCGAAAACAGAAATGTTCCAGCTACGATAATACACTATAGACATATCACTCTGGGAGATGGGAGGAGATTGTCTATGTATTCAATGCCTCAGTGTAGGGGTCCTTTAAAAGTTCTTGAGGACAGGTAAAGTGGGAAAACAAAAGCTCATTCCTTCTTACCCATCTTACCTGGGACAGTTGGCTCTAGGGGAACTTGAATCCATTGCCAGGCTGCAAATACTCCTAATTGCTTAACAAGTCAACTGAACGGCTTGCTACAAGACTTACAGCTGAATTTAACCCAGCCCCAACTTAGTTACATGTAAACTTGTGATGAAGGACACGAAAAGCATGATCTGTGTCTGTAAAAACTTATTTACTGACAATGTTGGAGAAGTGCACAGCTTGATTTTCAGTCTTATTTTTGTTCACGTGAATCCAGAAGACAAAGTATCTTCTCCCTATAAACAGACTAAGTCTACTGGATACTGAAGTACTTCAGGCTTTATTGAAATTACAGAATTTCTGAAAGCTAAATAGCAGAATAGAATCAACATTATGGTAAGAAAAATATATGCCTTATTAGAATGAAACTATTTCAATCCTTTCATAATCAACCCTAATAACTATGAGAGCATCAGAGCACATAACCTCTTCACAGGTATATGGAAAAAAAACCACGACTCCAACAGTTCGGGTACGTAACTACCCCCATGCTTTTTACAACAAAGGTCTGTACTATCTGAGGGCTATCAAACATTCGGATGCTTCCAAAGGCAAACTGTTTATTCAGAGGCAGATGTGATCAAGGCTCATGTTTTCCGAATGGCAGCTAGCTTACTTAGGCCCTTGAAATAATCCTTTCCCTAGAGCTCATCCACTGGGCTGTTTGGGCTGCATATTTCAAGCAGCAGAAAACTGCCAAGTCAAAAGCAAAGAATTTGTTTCTAAGAGAAGCAAGGAAAAGACAAAGAGCAAAAGTTAACACTGCAGATCACTGCAAGCTTCAGAGAGCACAAAACAATTGTTTTAATGAGAGCTAAAAATACTTTCTTCTAAGAGCACTTGCTCTTCTGCCAAAGGCATGCGATACACTGAGAAACATGTTTGCAAAATCAAAATATTTATAATACTATGAAAAAAAACCAGTCCCTGCTTTAGAAACTTATTATAGCTGGCTAAGTTGGAACTACACTTTTCATAATACAGACAAAAGATTATCAACCACAGACAGAAGTGAATATTGGCTTTGTTGCCAATTTAATGTTACAACAGGAAAAAAAACCAGCATATGTTTTCTCTAGATCACCTGACAGTTACCTTACTGTAACTATCAATATACTTATAGGACAAAATACAATTTTACTTTCTAACCTGCTCTTTGCTGTGTGACAGAAGTGAGTTGCACTAGAATGCACTCTGAAAAAAAAGAACAGAAGGGTCATGCAAACAAATATGAAGTCACCTGGCCTCACTGGAAGCTTTGCAAATGTTTGTTCTCTATACTCAGAAATCTCGGCTCAACTCAAAATTCAATACAACTCTTCCTTTGTAGTCCAGGGGAACACAGAAAGCTAAACATTTATAATGATCAAACTTGTCAGAAACTTTTATGGAAAATGTCAAGTTCAGCTTCTTTCCTTTGTTAATTTCAAGCATTGGAAAATCTTACTGGTTTTTTTAAGGGGAAAAAAACAAAGGGAAGTGTTTTAAAGTCATGAATAGAGTGACAATTCACTTTTGAAAATCCAAGTTTTCTTGCCATATTTAGCTAATGCCGAAACAGTGTCTACAGCAACATCAACAGTGCAGCTGTGAGGCTGCCAATATTGGCTCCAGCTGTGAAAAGCACTTTTGTCGTCTTTTTTTTTTTTAAAGTATTTTCTTCACTTTTCCCCTTCCAAAGACACAAACCAGCAGAAAACAGTCAACTGCTTTATACAATTGTCAGGCAAAGGAATCTACAATTTTATTTTGTAGCACAGTTGCTATTTGCATATTAACCTAGCAAGAATTTAATGTAACATATTATAGTATTTGTAATATTGGACCAACAACTTGTTCAGCAATCATGAATTGCCAGCTCCTGCATTTAATTTACTTTTAATTGTTCTCTTCTGTTGTAATCCAAGAAAGAAAACCAAAAAAAGATACAAGAGGGTGCCGGGCCCACTTGTGTGCCAAAAAAAAAATTTGGCTTTAAGTAAGGCCCCAAACTGAGACAGATTACTTTAGGCTTTCAGAAAAGTTGCTTAATACCTCAAAAAACAGTTTGCATAGTTTGTTAAATTACAGTAGGCAATTGTCTTTCAGTAAGAGAATGGTAAAGCAGCAAAGTGGAAAAAGAGCATTCAAAGTGCTGAAAGCATTTATACTGTATTACTTGACTCATTAGTTGCAACTTCAGTTCTTCCTCCCTGAACATCTTCTTTCTCTCCATGCTGATGAAAACCTGGAACAGAGCAAGACAAACTCCTGGTGCTACAAGCTGGTCCTATGAATTGGCAGGTCTTGGCTCATGCTGCAGTCACCAACAGCAGGTCTGCTGGAGATGTGTTTCCCTTCCCTAAAAGGGAAAGTAAGCTATAATGATTATTAAGGACTAACAGATGAAGTGATTCGACTCTCAGTCTTTGGTTCATCTGCAACAGCAACTGCCTCCATCTTCCTCTTCCCATAGGCATCAACAAAAAATATCTGCACCTGCCCATCTAACTTCTTCCCTCTATATCAATCCATGTTAAAAAAAAAAAAGAAGGGGGGGGGGGGGGGGGGGGAGAGCTAACAGGTAATTTCTAACTGTAAATTATGTCCTAACCTTCAGCCTGTCCAGTGTATTTAAATTTTAAGCACATTAGGGTGGGACTACTGTTACTCTCTGCAACACTTAACACACCAGAATACTGCCCTCAGTTGATCTTGTAGTGTGCTGTTAGAAACACATTACAAACACTATCTGACTTCTCAGGTTTTGTCACAGTACAGGAAGAATGGACAGATGAGACAGTATCCATGAAATTGCATGTAGTTCAAGTGTCAGCATTGTCACATGTAGAAACACAACAGGGACAATTCACGTTCATCTCAGGACTGTCCAGAAACTGGTTTCAAGACCAAGTATGCTGAAGACCAAGCAAAACAGGATATACTGAAGTTTCTGCTGCCCTTAAACAGCTATTTAAGCTCACCTTATAGGTCTTCAAAAACTCTTAACTTGGTTCTTCCTGGTATTACAACTTTAGAATGCCTATGATGTACTGCCATACCATCAAGCTTGGAAGACAGAAACTTAGGTTTGTCTTGGTAAGTTTGGAGCTTTAAAGATACATAAAAGACATTAATATAGCACAAAGTGAGCCCTAAAACAAGTACTGTCACATTTTAAATTCAGAACATGTTCAATGTGAATGGATATGTTATTAGGCACCGTATATAAATCTAGTACATTGAGCTAATAGCACCAGCATAATCGCTAGAGCAAAATGTTTTGTCACCTAAGAACAGACAAACAGCAGGTTTCCACATACATGCTGTTTACTTACAAGGCTTCCAAGGAGCTGGCTATGTCTTCTTGTAATAAGGTAAATCAATACCAAAGTAATCATTGCTTCCTACCTCCGTTAAAGATCTAGCCTAGACCATGTTACACTACAGTTCTCCCCTGAACTCCTCACAACAGAAGAGAGCAGCAACCAAAAGTACTGATACTCAAAAAACTATCATACGTGTACATCAGGAAAATTAGTTCTTAATAAAGGCACATTTGTTAATGTTTGACTGTCGTTTTCCCATTGTCAAAACTTCCCACTAACATTAATTCCAACAGTTTGGAAAATACTGACAGTAGGTACCTGCTGTTCTAGAGAGCAGTGTTACAACTAGCACAAAAATTTGGGAGTTGCGCTTCAGCTTTTTTTTTTTTTTTTAAAGAAAACTGTGAAGTCAATGAGCTTAACAGCATAAAAATAAACTTTATCAAAGTATGTCCCATTACCAACTGCTTTATCAGCCTATATCTCAGTGGTATTCTAACCTATAAGTGGTACTTCATTACATTAGATTACATTAATCTTCTCCCGTCTTCCCTGCTTGCTCTGAATCAGCTGATCATACTGGTTTTCCTGGAGTACCACAAAAGGTGTTTTGAAAGATCCAAAACACTTGAGTTTGCTTAACCTTTAAGTCAGGCTACAGAGTTTCATTTACAGGCATTCATGGTCCCTTTCTACTACTACTACAAAAAAATCTCTTCTCAGCCCCTGGGTATTCAGGTACCCCAGAACCCCAAAGGTAAACCTAATCTACTCTTACAGAATCAAGATACTGAGCAGCAAAGATGGAATTAAGAGTAGTAAAGATTGTAACTAGCTAGTGGTTAATGTGTGGAACCAGGAAGCAGACACAGAGGTGATGCATGTATTCCTGTACTTACATTCCACTGTTCTTCTGTGCCTTATTTTCCCCTAAATAAAACAGGCAGATATTGCTTCTATCCCATTTCTTCTATCACTTCTTTAAAAGCTCCTGCCTTTAAAGCTGTTGGCGCACGTATGCACACAAACATTATTCCACCTAGCAGAGCAGATTGTTTGGTAAAGAAATATACATATGCATTTTGAAAACAGGATTTTATTGGAAGCTTATCAAAAACATTCGAAATCTTATTCAGGAAAGGCACTTCAGACTTTAGTCTCTTTTCTTTTTAGCTTTGGGTTCTTGTGACAGCTGAGATAATTCACTTTCTTCAACTTCATCACAATGCTTTCTTTTCTTTTTCTTTGACTTTTTATGGTCACTTTGGTAACCACTGGAGTCACTGGTAGGCAATACATGTTCCTGTTCTTCTTGCTTATGCTTTTTCTTTTTCTTCTTCTTGTTTTTATCATCGCACAATCCATTCACAGCATCAACACTTCGCTCTTCTCCATTTTCCCTCCTGGTGTTATCCGTCTCACCCAGAGGCTCCTCTGTGACATTATCTCCCCCAGAGTCATTCAAGTCATTTTCCTGGTGGTCAAGCTTTTGAATTTCATCTCCATTTGTACTGTCAGTGACAGTCTCAGATCGTTTGGGCTTCATGCTGTAAAGAAGTATACAAAATAAGCTGAAGTAGAGACATCTAAGTACACCTCACACAGTGAAATATCAAAATTTGCCAAAACACAGTATTTACATCAAGTAGATAAAAGATAAGCATTTACTAAAAACAACAACAGATGGAGAACATGATACTCTAGTTACAGAAAATCATAAAGCCAGTTTAATACTTTCAGGGTAATTTCTATTACCTGACTAGCTTCCTTCTTACCACAGAATCAAGATTCTCTTTCAAATCTTAGCCTAAATTTCTTCTCTAAAATGCTGTACAGACCATTTTGATTTTCCTCTTTTCTTGTACTCCTTCATCCACTAATTCATAATTACACATTTTGTAGTGCAGCTTTTTTTTTTTTGAAGTTATTCACAAACACACACAGCCAATGGCCTGTTCAGTCTTACATGAGACACACTGCTGATTTTTACCAAGCAATTGCCTTGCTGAAGTCTATACAGCTAAAACAAAGGTGATGCCAGAAAAGTCAAAAAAAAGAAGAAAAAAACCAACCCAAGCAAAATAAAAAAACCCAGCAGGTACCTTGCAACTGAGAGCATTGGAGAAAATGTCTAGGAAGACAAATATGGAAATAATGCAGTTAAAAACCATGGAGGAGGAGATGTCCCCAGAGGCACTGAGGACAAAATTGTTAAGTTTCATTGTAAGTTCACTGAAACAATCCAGAGCATCCTTCCAGATTAAAAAAGAAAAACCAAACAAAAAATGTTATCATTTTGTCAGTAGTAGTCATATTGTACATTTAATTAAAAACATAACCACATTGGTAGAAAAAAATTGCTCAGCAAATGACCATTTATAAAAAAATCTGAATGAATTCTTTTAAAGGTATCACTACTAAGATTTTTAGCAAACTGCTCTAAAAATTTAGAGGTGTGTAAGTGAAAGGAGGAAAGTGATGCGTTTTCTCTTATCATCTTTGATATTCTTATGTTTCAGCAAGGATTTAACTCGTCCACATATAACTAGTTGTGGTTATGTAATGTGTGCGCACGCATGTGTGTGTAAACACCAATGTCAACATTGTGTTCAGGAACTGCAGTGTTTTCACTTGCAAAGCCTATGCACATTCATAAAGACAGCTACTCTAGACATTTGGGGGTGCTATTTTGAACATGTATTATTTATACAATCAACAGCTCATAGGTCAGCACACGCAGATTTTTAAAGCTCAAAAAAAAAAAAAAAAATCCACTTTTATTTTTCCAGAGAAAACTTCCAAGTGAGTCCCTACCAGTAGAAAGTTTAGTTTAAGATAACTAACACAGGCTATATATAGACATGGGTTTGTGTGAAAATAAGAAAGCTTAAAGATTAAGATGTTAATTCAAATCATTTAGCTTGTAACAAGCCCATTAAAACAGTTAAAAGTATTCTCTAGTAGGGCACAGTACCTCCTTTTAGTGAGTCCCCCTCGAATAAAGAACACCCCAGCTGCATCAGAATCCAAGTGCAATACTTGAAATTTGAGTTCGTCCCCTATTTTTAACCCCAGGTCTTGCCACTGTACAATCGACATTTGTTCAGGTTTAGGGATAGAAGCATTGAAGCATCCATGTATCAGGCAGCCAATATGACTAGGGGCCACTTTATTAATTACACCCTAAAAAAGAAAAAGAAAGTCATATGAAGCTATAGTCAAGAAGACCACCCCTTTAAACGCACATGATACGTATTAGTCTCCTGTGTGGACACTTTTCGACAAGAGTTTACGCACAAGTTACGAAGTCAGTTTATCGAGCAAATCAGCTAACTCTTCTTCACTAAAACTGAAGCTACTCCTATATACTCTTCATACAATTCCTCCCAAAATAGAACTGAACCTGTATCTGCAAAAGAAAGAAAATCAAAACATGGGACTTGGCTACAGTGAATACCTGAATAGAACAGGTAAGTCTTTCCTCACACTACAGCCATTGACTTTGCTTTAAAGTTATTTTAATTCTGCTTTACTCGCTTAAAACAGTCTTCATGCTGGCACAGCACTACTTAGCAGCTAAAGATACAGATGACACATAAAAAGCTTTTAAGTACTCCATTCAGTGGTTTTCTGACACATTTGCATGTCAAACGTTATTCACCTTTGTCTTCCCCAAGGATGAAAGAAAGACACTGAGGGTTTTTCTATTCATTTCCTAACAACGGGACACATTCACTTCTTTAATCACATTTAGAAAGACATAAGCTGTGCTGTAAAAGGTATGGCACAACAAAAGTAAGCCAACCCTCAACTATTTTTCCCCGGCAAGTACCAACACAAGCGTATTAACAAGCTTAAAGCTGTTCTGCAAGCCGTACATTTCCTTTTACTGAAAGGCAGGCTTCAACTTGATGTACTGCTCTCGTACTTGAAGGAAATAAACTCATGAGAACATCCTAAACATTCCTGCCACTACTACATAAGAACAAACACACCTGTTTGAGAATTATCTGAGCTTCAGAAAGAAGCATCGATCGATATAAACGATATGCAAAATTATGATACAGTATTTAGTAATCTGTAAACCTTATGATACAGTATTTTAATAATGCGTGATCCTTATGATTCGGTATTATAATAACATATAAATATAAATTTAACAAATATAGAGACAGACGAAAATAAAACCTGCTGCTACCAACTGCTAATAGAACTCCTGTAAACTACTCGTACGCGAATAAACTACCAATATAAGCCAAAATATAGCTCCACCTAAGTCCCAGACCTCTGCTGAAGATGGAGGCAGGCCAAGCTTTGACTACTCAATAAAAAAACGTGCCCCACGAGACGTCGGCATGTTGACATACCACCAGTTTTTTCCCTTTCTTGGGGCTGAAGATGACGAAGTCCGCCTCGACGTTCAGGTGGATGAATCCTTGGTCGTCGTAAATGTCCCCGAGCTCACCCACCACTCTGATGTTGTCGTAGGCCACCGGCACACCCTGAAGGCTGGG